AATTTTAGTAATCGTTATAAACTTTGAGTATTCAAACTAATTGAAAGGAAAAAACTTTGTAGTTAGAAGTCAGGATTACAGAAAAGCTAGTAGTTTAGACTTAACAGTGGTTGCTACGGGGCCAAAAACCCATGTTTGCAGAGATTTTTTTTCCTCCAAAGTAGTTAAATGTGACTGAGATATCAGAAAAATTATATTATGCTATCAATTTTATAATTAAATCTTTTTCATGTATAATTCAGAGGTAAATATAAACTGAACTATGTAATTACAAATTATTAAATTGGGGGCTCCAAATTAAAGGGTTTTTTTTGTATTTACTAAAGATCTAATTTGTATTGAAATTATGATGACTAGTAGGGTGATTTTTAGCTTTTTGAAGAAACTAGTAACACTTGAGAAATCCAGATGTCATTACGTAGTTCAGAGAAGCCCTAAAAAGATAAGAGCAAGGATGGTAGAGTTCTCTAACTGGGCATTCGGTTGACAGGCTGTTAACTCTTATTTGGGTGATGCAGAGGTTTTATGTTTTTTTTTCCTTCTTCAGACGTGCTGGTTGGGTCCATGATTGGCCTGAGTTTTGCCTACCTCTGCTACAGGCAGTATTATCCGTCCCTGACTGATGCTGAATGCCATAAGCCATTCCACTGCAAACATATACTTCCTACCACACAGAAGTTTATTGTTCCCCATTATAGACTTGATGTTTAGCAACTTAACCCACCTACCTCAGAAAAGAACAGTGAGAGCATCCCCTCCTGTCTTTGATCTATCCCACTCAGAAGACATGGGTTTCAGGCCCTTCTTTTTACCTCTTAAATGCCACAAGTGTAGACATGGGCAAAACTGAACTCTGTCTTCCTACCTGGATACATCCATAACAGTTCTTTTCTACTACTGTATCATGACAATATGTTGTTGGGGGAGGCCTTTTGAAAAATAGAAGAATCAAGTTCATTGTGATAAAGGTGTTTTTGCTTAATTGTCTCAGACAATTGATCACGGCCTTAAGGTTACTGCAGGATATCAAGATGATGGCAGTCCAGGCTTTAGGGGCCTGTGGACCGGCTTGGGTGGCCACTGACTCCTTGGCAATGGGAGGAGGTATCCTTTCTGATGAGGAGGCTACTACTGGCTCGGAGAGAGAGATTATGATGGCTGCAAGGAATGATTTGGATCCTTACAATATGCTAGTCCCAAAGGCAGCTCCAGGGACTAACGAGGAACCCAGCCTGGTCCCTTCCATCACTGACAGGTGATTAGCGGGATTGTTATCTGTAAAGAGGACAGCAGTGCAGTCATCTGGTTCTAGCTTCACAAAGGCGAGATAAAGCATTGCCCTAACTGTGGAATCCATTGCAAGCTGGTACCCCACCAGTTGAGCCACTGAACCCTTGGGTTGGTTTATTTGAGATGTGTCACAATGTTTTCTTCCCTCCAATAAAAGACTAGCCTTTCTCTGACTCCCATTAAAAAAAAAAAAGTTGGTTTATTTTGTTTGTTTTTATGAAATAGTACCCAAGAGACAAATAAAAAGTATAGTTAAACCTGAGAAATTTAGAGCAAGGAGCAATGTCTTCATGAAATTATTGCAAGTCTGAATTGTAAAACTTTTTTTAAAAGGCAGTAATATATACTTCAAGTTATTCAGATGGTTGTCAGCCAGCTTCTGACTCTGATAGGCATCCTGACTCTATTAGGTTCACTAGGGCTGACTAGATGGGAATATTTTCAAAATCAGCTAATCAATATACACTTATTAAGCACCTACTGTGTGCCAGGCTTCAATAAGCATTGAATATTTTAACATTTAATGGCACAGTTCTTGTGACCTTCCTATATAGTTATATGTACCTGCTCTATCCTTGAAGCAGAAAAACAAAATGCTTGTTATTGTTATATGTTGAAATATCAGAAAACAAGAACCTTTATAGCCTAGAGTCCCTACGAAGAGAAGAACCAAGCTCCTCTCCCCATTTTTTCTGTCATTATTACCTGAATACTTGAATAGGAAATGTCCAAATATAATTTAGATCACTGTTCTACATTAAGGTCTTCAGCAGAGCTACTGGTTTTTATGTGAAGATTTTTTTAGTGCTGCAGACATAATTTATTATACAAGCATAAAGGTTTGAAGAAACTTAATAGTATTAGAATTTTAATGAGTTTAACGCATTCCTCCACCACCTCAACTCTGAGCAGTATCTATCTACCTTTCTTTCCCATGAGTTCACTTCATGAGGGACCAAAGCGTGATACTTGGAGCCAAAACTTTCTTGTGTACATTTTATCAACTTGGCCATTTAAATTATTTGTTCCCCAAAAACAGCAGTGGATTTGGAGTTAGAGGACCTGGGTTTGAATACCAGCTCTACCTATTTCAGGCAAATTCCCTTAGTCCTCCATAGGACTCAATTTCCTCATTTGTAAAATGAAGGGATTGGACTAGATGACATCTAAAGTTCCTTCCAGCTCAATGTATAATTTTATGTTTCTGCCTAGTAAAAGAGTAAGGAAGGGGATGAAGGGAATTTTTTTTTTAATATTTGTTAACACTGAAGAGAAGTTGCTCATCATCAGTTACCAGTTAACTTTATAGATGTACTTTGCTTCCTTTTCCCTTTCCCCAACAGGGATATAGTGAACCATATAAGCTGTTTTTTCTGAACTAATTTTATGGGACCCTCAGATATGTATTTCTTCCTGTTTGTTATGTTTCTTAAAGTATGTGTGCATTTTCTTACCAGAAAGTGCCATTTTCAATGTATCTGTACCTCCAGTAAACCTGATTTTAAAGTTCTTGTTCTTGGACCTCAATGTTTGACAAGAGATAGGTTTGGGGGCAGTTATCTTTGGGAGCTGCTTATGTTTAATTCAGATGTTTGATTTTGTTTTTAAGATTGCCCTGCCATTTCTACCCACTTTTTTTTTCAAAAAAGTGGGGGATTCTGTATATGGAGCCTAACTATGTTGGTTGTTTTGCTTTTTTCCTGCTCTTTTATTCATTATAAGGGTTGAATAGGGCAAAGGGGAGAGATACATTAGGAAATATAGGCAGTATAAAACAAGGTGTCAGCACAAATGCTTAAATTGCCCTACTTTAAGGTGCATAACAGGAGTTCTTAAGCCAAGGTCTGTGGATAGATTTCAGGGAATCTGAATTTAGGTGGGGGAAAAAGTTGCATCTTTATTTTTCCATAACCTCTAAAAAAACCATTGTTTAAAAACATTATTCTGAGAAGGGTTAGAAAAGCTTCACCAGACTGTCAAAGGTGGTCATGACACTAAAAAGATTAAGTGTCTTGTCTTAGTATATATATTCACAACTAGTGTGACTTGGGACAACAAAAGAAACCAAGCAACTGGGTAAAAAAAAATAAGCAAAAACAGTTGTTAACTGGACCAAAATGCTTAGTGTGACTGAAATTTTTACTTTTCAGCTAATTGTTCCAGTGTCAGATAGCCGTAACCACAGATAAATGGTAGTGTCCTCTGTTAATGTGATTAAGGCTCTTTGAAGGCACTGACCTTTTCACTATCAAAAGGTTAAAGGAGAAGAACTAAGTCCAGGAGAACCTAAGATCTATGCCGTTTAAGACAGGGACTGCCTTAAATTTAAATTTGGAAACCCACTGCCTTAGCACGTACTTGACACCTCTTTAGAAAGCCTGGCTAAGTACTTAATCTTTTCTGATAATGCCACTGGATACCAAGAACTGGAAGTACTGAATATCAGTTGGTGCCAATATTTTTAAGTACAGGCAGTTTTCCAGCTTATAGTGAATTTTTACTAGAAAAGGCATTTGATTGCTCTAAATCACTGTTGATTAGAGAAATGCAAATCAAAACAACTCTGAGGTACGTCACACTTGTCAGATTGGCTAACATGACAAAACAGGAAAATTGATATAAACATTGGAGATGACGTGGGAAAATTGGAACACTAATGCACAGTTGGTGGAGTTGTGAACTGATCCAACCATTCTGGAGAGCAATTTGGAACTATGCCCGAAGGGCTATAAATCTGTGCATACCTTTTAACCCAGCAATACCACTTATAGGTCTGTACCCCAAAAAGATCATAAAAATGAGAAAAGGACCCATATGTACAAAAATATTTATTGCAGCTCTTTTTGTAGTGGCCAAGAATTTCAAATTGAGGAGATGCCCATCAGTTGGGGAATGGCTGAACAAGTTGTGATATATGAATGTGATAGAAAATTATTGTGCTATTAAGAAATGATGAGCAGGCAGATTTCAGAAAAACCTGGAAAGTTCATATAAATCAACTGATGCCGAGTGAAGTGAGCACAACCAGAAAAACATTGTACACAGTAACAGCTGCATTGTGCGATGACTAACTTTCATAGACTTGGCTCTTCTCAGCAATCCAAGGACCTTGGACAACTCCAAAAGACTCACAATGGAAAATGCTATCTACATCCACAGTAAGAACTATGGAGTCATCTGAATGCTTATGGAAGCATACTCTTTGCTCTGTTTTTCTTTTGTTTTGTTTTATTGCTTCATTCTCGTGGTTCCTCCCATCAGTTCTA